ATAAATAAATGTCTGTTATAATAAATTTAATACTTATTAGTAATAATGTATTAGATGGATTTAGTGCAGTATATAGACAAATTGCTAATAATTACCTGTTCAAACTTTATCTGGTAAAGTGAATCGTGCTGATCTTTAGCCCAAGCAAGATATTCTTCAACTGATAAGTCAGAATGATTTTTCATATACGGCTACATGAGTTCTATAGAAATTGCTTGGTGATATATGTTACAAATTGAATCCCAAGACTTGTGATAGTTGGCACATTTCTTGAAATAGGCGAGTTGATTTTCTGTCCGATAACCCTAACATCTTGCAAATCGCTTGATATCAATTTCTCTAATTTATAAAAAAAAAAAAAACGATTTTTAATTGCTTTATTTTTTGAAATATCGCAAATTATTACGAACACTTAAACAAAAAATAACCTACTAATTTAATTTCACATATGCTCGAAGCATATTCATTTACTCATGTAAGTGTCCCGGTATGAGAATCAACCAAGGAAATTTTTTCTTTAACTTGGTAGCATAATGATATGGAACACCATCACAGGCTACTGCTACCTACTTTCGAGTTTCGTCCTTAATACCCGATAATTTTCCTATATGAGAGAAAACCTTTTTGACATTCGCGATTGAATTAGGGTTAATATTAATTGGATCGGGTATATGAATTTCGGGAACATTAACTCCTTGATCAATGACTTGCTGCTAGGTATGACTGATTTTTAGAATATGCGCATCACTTAGTTTGTCACTAGTATTATTATAAGGTTTAAAATAAATAAATAAATTAGTTGATTGATTATCTATATGATTTTTAACTTTAATTTCTTTTTCTTTTTAAATTTTGGTCAATGTTGGTAATCATGCTCCACACATTTGACATGTTTTCTTTCGGTTTTTGATATTTTGTTGGTTGCAGTTAGTGCAACTTTTCATCTTTGCAGAATTTGTTGCTGTAGAGAATCAATAATATTAGTCGATGATGATTTTTCATTAAACAACAAATTAAGGATATTAGCAAGATAAGCATGTAATTCTTTATCAAGAACTTCTTGCATTTGAGAGCTGATATCAAAAAGCTCTTCGTACTGTAAATTGCTAAGAGAATCACATGTCCAAGGAAAGTTAGTATGCTGAAGTTTGTTTTGAGATGACATATTAAAAGTAACAAAACTGGTAACAGTGTAGTAAACCACCATATTGAACCCACGATCAAGATAATTTTTTTGCCCTCGTTGTTCATTATTAAACGCGATGAATAAAAGGCTTTCGGGCAATGGCTCTTCATATCTTGATAAGTCTTCTAACCATCTTTAAAATCGAGAATAACTCCCTGAGCACATAATATAATTATCAATATTGATAATCATCTTTGATCGTGCAATTGAATACTTGATAGCCAAGATAGCAAAATAAACTTCTGATATATATTTCTCATATCGTGCTCCATATATTAAATCGACGGCCGCAGAAGTCTTAAAAAGCTTTTCTTGGCTTATAGTACTGGTACCTTGATTGTTTGGAATCAGGGTTTCTATAAATTTAATGATGACCTGATTGCGTTTTGTAAGCCATTCGTGTGGATTATATGCTATAAGACTCTCTACAGAAAACCTAGACTTATCCTGAACTAAAACTTTTATATCATCAAATACCGATACACGTTTCGCATTTGCTATTTCAACTATTGCTTCAATACGTTTTTGTTGAGTAGCAAACCTTGAATTCCACTGCTTAACAAGAACATGATTACGCTTACCTTGTTCATCACATAAAGCCCAAATATCAATCATATTATTATGAGCTCTCTGCAATTGGCTTTTTAATTCTTCTATTTCACGCTTTTGAACTTCAATATATTGCTGCATTCGTGCAATTTGATTATTGGGGTCTATTATTAACTGTGATTTTTGCTGATTTTCTACTTGCACAGCTTCTAAAAGCTGTCTAGCTTCATCAAGCTCAATTGTTGAATCTACATAAACAATTGGGTTATCTTCTTCAACATTAATTATTGAATTTTCGTGAATACTTGGATTATCCTTCTCATTAATTCGAATTCTTACGCTTTCTTGAGCGGAACCTACAAGACGCTCATAAAATTGGTTAGTTGAGGCAATTTGAGAATAATGTGAAGAACAAAGAGAATGAGATTCTAAAGACAAGTTAGAAAGTTCAGGAACATAATCATAATAATATGCAAGTTGTCTAACTACTTCAGGGCTATCTGCATTCCACCATTTCTGTAGCTTGCTCATTTTGCAAGGTCTTAGCCCAAAGCTTTCATATGTTTTAACTAAATCCACAAATAAACATTTCTTTTCGTGCGCTTTCTTTTACTGTTGTTGATCAAACACTATATAAAGATTATTTAAGACACTATGTTAGTAACAAGATTAAACCTTCTTACTTAACA